TCTTGCATAGACACGAACTAAAAACTTTGCCACCCGTGCTTTAGAGAATCATCATGAACTGAACGAGGTCAGCGCACCGTGGCTGAGCAAAAAAGAGACATGCTCAAACTGGTAATCGAAGAATTATCTCACGTCTATCAGAGCAAAATCAGGAGGCACAATAACAAACCCAGTTAGCTTCACACAAATGAGACATTCGATGCAATTAATTGCGTTTTGCACATTATTCAGCTTGCATCAATTCAGTTCATGGTTCGTCTTGTTATTGGCCAGTGTTTATCGGCAACGAAATAAAATAAACAAATATCTAAACATTAGCCTTTTGCATATGGTGTTGACCAGGGTTGCACAGTCGGTAGAACATTACTCACAATCGAGAGGTCCAAAGTCAGAGCTCCAGTCAGATCACACGCTTTTCTTCCTTCTGAGGTGGATAAACAAGTGTTATCCTGTGGGAAGTAAACAGCAGGTTACGCAGTATGGCTGCGACATAACTGCTGTGAATTCTCCCTTTAAAAAATAAGGCACTCTTGAAAGATAACATGGGAATGTCCCCACCAATAAATTCATGAAAACCATGGCGTTAGAACTGGTCAAATCATGTAAATGTAAGGAAGACCAATATTCCCATGGTTAAAAAGTTTCACTTTTCCCATATATCTATACGAATCATATAATCATTACAATTCGTCGTAATAAGTTTAATTCATTATATAATTTAACTCTGACCTTGCTGATCCCAATACTGGATGAAAAACGAGGATAGGTGGGGAGCGTGACGAGGTCACTTTTAAAACTCAGCAACCAGACCTACTTGGTATACTGGGTCAGTCATAACCCGGACTGCCAACGGCAGCGCAGGCTGTTTGGCAGCTGAAGGAGACTGCCAAAAGTCGCCGTTCGAAACCTGTCTCACTCCTAGTGCAACTTTGGGCGTAGCTGCCGAAAAACGACATGAAATGACGAAAATACTGCTTAGCAACCGAGTTGCCAGTGGTACTGAAAGTAGGAGACATACACCGTGGTACCATTATAGCACGTCAGATACGGGAACGATACCGAGAGTGCGAGCTCAGCGTCAGAACATCTCTATTGGACCATCTCTATACTGGAAGGATAGCAAAAGTTAATTGGTGAAGCGCAGGATACCAACTCGATATAGTTGGACTCTCGCAACGAAGTGCAACAGCTCTGAAATTCTGAAACTTTGCGAGTGGAAGCTATTTCATTCAAGAGTCGAAATCACCAGACGAACGTTCAGTTGATGTTGGTGTTCTGGTAGAATCCAGCCTGGCTCACAGAATCATTTAATGGAAGCTTGTCAATGGAACAATGGCAATCTTCTTTAGGCTAAAGCACTGACCTTGTTACAGGTCTATTCGTCCAATTTGGAGGAAAAATGAGGAAATGGTATGGGTGCTCTGCATGCAGTTCCAAACACGGAATCCATCATTCTAATGGGCGATTTTAATGACATGCCAGAGAAAACATTGAAATATAGAAAGAACAGTTCAACGACCTTAACAGTAATGACATGAAGTTGTTTCGGTTTCGTGCAAACAACGGACTGTCCATTATAAACATCTTCTTCGAGCAGTACGAAAAAGTGCCAAAAGCGGCAGTGAAAGTAGTGGTCAAGGTTAAAGCTGATTCCTAAAAAAAGTTCGGTGAGGTGTTGGAATCGAATTTCCAGGCGGTAAAAAAAGTTTTACCAGCAGACCATCCGTCGCTTCGGAGATCGAAAGATTGGCAGTGTAAAAGTCCTGAAGAACAAGTCAAAAAGTGCCTTAAGAAGGATAAAGACATAGTTCGGCGACAGAGACACTTTGAAAACTCTGAGCAACCGTAGGAACACTTTCTTGAAGAGTAGCGGGCAGTAAATATAAATATTTAAGTATCTGAAGTTTGAGAAGTTGTAAAAGGCTGGATAAATGACAAGGCTGCTGGAATCGATGACAAATCCGCCCTGAAGTGCTGAAAGGTTTAGGTAAGCAAGGTATTTTGTGGCTAAAACGCGTCTGTTAAACTGTAATGGCCACGAGGAGGACA